CCTCCTGGGGGGAAGGCCTGGCCCACCAGGGACCTTCCAGCCCACCTGGCCTGTCCCTGGCTTCATTTGCCCTCAGGGTCAAAGGCACCTCTGGTCCCACTTGTGTGTGGGCTTCCCGGGGAATGTGGCCCTGGCTTTTCTGCTGGCAGCAGCCACACCAGTGCATACCGATCCCTACACATGCCTCATCCTCAGGCTGGATGGGCTTGAGTCCCCGCCCCTAGCCCACCCTCTCCAGGGCCCACGGCTGTTACCCTTGGGGATCTCCCCCAGAGAGACATCTGCTAACTGCCCTGCTGTGGTTGGGACCAGGGCTCAGCTGCTTCCCACAGCAGCCACCACCTCTGTGGCCATAGGTGGGGTATATTTGACCCACTCTGGCTCCCCATTTCCCCAAGCGGCCCTGAGTCTGTGGAGCATGTCCACATGAAGCCTGGGGGATGATATAGAGTGATCTATCGCTTAGGAACAGGATTTGCTCAGGCCTTTAGTTTAGGAGGTGGGCCAGGGCTGGGGCTCCGTTCTCTCTTCCGTGAGGGTGGCCCACCCTCATGCTGTAGGTGTACTTCTTTTCCTATTTTTACTTGGTCCAGACTTGCTCTGCAGAGCCTGTTTCTTTTCCTACCTTTAATAAAGCTTTGCTACCATTAAAACAGAGAGAGAATGAGGGAGTAATAAAAGAGATGAGGAGGGCTCAGAAATGCTAGAGTAAGGAAATAATTACAAAAGGAAATAAGGGTGGTTTGTCCATGTGAAGCTCATTTTGAGTTTTCTAACAGAGACTTACTGAAATTGGGGTCTTACTCTTCCACAGAAAGTGGGAGGCAGGGCTTCTGTCTTCAGGTGTTGGATGTAACAAAGAGTAAATTCTTCATGTAGTTTTCTCAGATGGGAACTTTAATGGGGTATAGGGCCATCCTAGAGATGTAGTCTTGAACTGTTAGGAACTATGTTAAATGTTTGTTCAAATCTGTATAAGTCAAGGCTGAGGCCTACTTGAGAAAGGGTCCACAGGAACCTGGCTGGAGTTTGGTCAAGGAATTTTCAGTATATACTAGCAACAATCTATTATTAAATAATGACAGAAAACAATATGTAGAATATACACTGGCCTGTTATATAGAGTGCTATCCAATATGCTTAATCCTAAGCTTAATTAGCAATGAATAGTAATACAGGAAGAATAAACCTTCTACAGTACCAGTAATACCAAATAATAGGCATGCCACTGTGTTGGATGGAAAAAGTGAGAAAAACATACAAGTACACATAGATTTTTCAATAACTGTCAAACAAAAATCTCCAACTTTAGAGTAACCAAGTTACAAATCAGGAGGTAAAAGAAATAAGTAGGATATATTCATACTATTACCGGCTTTTAAAAATATGAAGCAAAAATGAACAAAGGAAGGAAACAAAGAGACCTTGACTTAAAGAGAGCGGCAGAACCTATGTAGAAGCTTCCTGTAAGGCTGCCCTAAAACCCTGATGCATCACCAGGACCTGAGTCTGGGCTGGAGAAAAGCAGCCTGCCTCTCACACCTGCGCTTAAATGGGCAACACAAGGCTCCAATGAGTCACACTGATCAGGTGGCTGTCCAGAACCAATTAGCTCTGAGCTTGGGCTGAGCTGGGGCAGAGCTGGGGCAGGAATGGAAAGATGGAACGTGGGCAGCTGCTATGGTACCCTGGGAGGGACAGGACTGGCAAGATACCCAGTGCACAATTAGTCAGATGGAACTGACATGCAAGAAAGCAGGAGGAGGTGTCTGTCCATGGCTGATACTTGCTCTGGGGAAGACTCGTCCAAAAACAAGACAAGCCATCTGGTGCCTGTCTGGGAGTAATCGGACAGCTTGTGTCCATGTGTTCCTTCCCCATCCTGTCTCACTCTCTCTGCTACTTTTCTTTTTTTTCTCCCACGTTACTTATCTTTTTTAACCTATGTCATATTTATAGTAGTTTTGTTTTCAAATTTTGGTTGGCTGGTTGCTTCCTGCTGCTAAAAACAAGAACTCCAAGACTCACAATTCTAGCCACCTAATGGAATCACGGAATGACAAAGTCTTTGGAACCCAAAAATTCACTCAGTCATACATTCATTTACTCATTCATTTATTCACTCAACTCTCTTCTCACCTAGTGTTTATCACACACGTAACTGATCCTGCCCACTGAGAACTTGTGGACAAAGGCAGGAGGAAGCCTTGCTAAATAAAATCAGAGCTGTGTGGTAGGTGCTAAATATAGGTAGGAAAACAAGCTGTTTGCACATTGGAGGAAGTTAATAACTGCATAAAGAGGTGAAGAAACCGTCTGCCCAAGGGAAAAGTTGAGGTCATTGTGGAAGCCTGAGTCGGTGCAACCACCCAGGGGACACCAAAAAGGAACAGGAAGTCTTTCTGACAAATAAACACTTTGAGCAAAGGTTTGGTGCTAACCAAATGAGTCAGGTGCCTGATCAATTGGCATTGACTTAACATGGCAGAAATGGACAATAAAGGGTGTACAAGAAGTGGTTTTAGGACAGCTGAGCCAGCCTTCATAGGTTGTATTCTGATCAGTCTGAATTTTGTCCCTTCAACTGAGCTGTCTTTTCACAAGCCGCAGGCAGATATTGACCACTTGCAATGTGGCTGATCTAAACTGAGATGAGCGAGGGGCTGGGGATTTAGCTTAGTGGTTCTGCTGCCAGTCTCGCAAGCACAAGGACCCGAGTTCGATCCCCAGCACCAAAAAAAAAGTTATTAACCCTCAAAAACTAATAAACTGAGATGAGCCAAAAGTGTGGAATACATACCATATTTCCAAAGCTAAATACCAAAAAATAGTTTAAATGGTCTCATAACTGCCTTTCATATTAATTGCTCATTGAAATGACCATATTTGGGGCATATCATACTAAATGAATATATAGCATTGGGAATCATCTCACCTGTTTCATTTTCCTTTTTTTCTCTTTTTTTTGAAATAGTGTCTCTTTATGTTCCCCAGACTGGCCTTGAACTCCTGGGTTCAAGCAATCCTCCTGCCTCAGCCTCCCAAGTTGCTGGAACTATAGGTACCACCATGCCCAGTTATTTTTCTGTAATGTAGCCACTAGAAAATTGGAAATTACAGGTGTGGTTTCCCTATGTGCCTTAGTGGATGGCAGATAGTCATGGGTCAGAGAAGAGGAGTGCAGGAAAGGTTGGGTCTAGGACTAATATGAGGAGTAGAGTTTACAGGTTACAGCAGGGGTATGAGCAGGAGGCTAGATAATGGCTGAGGTGAGCAGTGACTCAATTGAAAGCAAAAGATTGGACGGGGGGAAGAACAGGCCTTTAATTGACAAAGAAATGATTATGCTAGAATTCTGTTGTCCACCCATGACAGTTAGGCCCAGGTTAAGCACTTTCTATAAGCTAGCCAGCACTATTATTAGCCCCTTTACATATAACATTGGCTCGTCAGCCTAATCAATTAATGTCTATAAGGCCAGCCAGAGTAAAGACCTGAGCTTGTCTGGTCTGAGGGCCCAAGTCTAGGCTATCATTGTCCATTGAGCCAATATGGCAGGAATGACAGGATGGAGTCCAACCTGACTCCTGCTTTCTGGGTTTCTTGTCCTGGCATGAAATCTCAGAATAACAAAGAATAAAAGCAAGAGAGGCAGGATACAAGCACCCACCTGGCCTTTAGAAATATGGACTTGCCGGGGCAAAAGCCTGCAGGGAAAACTTGGTGAATTTGAGGAAGTGGAAGCAAAAGGGTCCCTGGAGCATGACAGGAGCTGAGGCCACCCGAGAAAAGGCTGATATTGACGTATCTACCTCTGAAGGACCTGTAAGGTCTTTTTAGCAATGGTAAATGGATATTCTCAGCCAAACTTGGGGTCACAGGAGAGATGGTATACCTGGAAAATCCTTGAGTGTGAGGCAGGTCTGTACACTTTGTTAGGTACCCTATGTACAGGGTCCCTCTTTGCAGGGGCACATTCTGACCCATGACCCATGGCCAGGGGGTGTCACACCATGGATCAGGGCTGTGGGATCTTTCTTACTACCCCTTCACCCAACAAACAGTGGTTCCCATGAGACCATGACCCTTATGCTTCCAGATCTCTCATGGGCTCAAGATCATTGGGGTCCTCAAGCAGGAGGAATTGAGGAAGATCTTGATGATCCCATAAAGCATGGCTTGGTTGAAACCAGGAGGTAGAAGAAGTTAGTGATTCCCTAAAGCAGGGATTGACCAACTGTGGGCTACATGTCACATCCAGCCCAGCCCTGTTTCTTTCTGTCCATTAATAGGAACACAGGCATTCTCCTTTGTTCACATAGCATCCTTTGTGGCTGCTTTCTTGCTATAAGAACAGAATTGAGTAGTTTCTAACTTCTTTCTTTCTGTTTTTTTTTTTTGTTTTTTTTTGGTACCGGGGATCAAACTCAGGACCTTGTGCTTGTGAGGGGCAGGCAGCGGCACCTCTGAGCTAAATCCCCAGCCCTGAATTAAGTTGTTTCAACAGAGACAGTCTGGCCTACAGAGCCAAAAATAATTCCTATCTGGCCCTTTTCAGAAACCGTTTGCTGGCCCCTGCCACCCTCCTGTGCAGAAGAGTAAATGCATTCTCTCACAGAGACCAGTGGCCAACTTTGCCACTCTGGGAGCATTTGGCAGTGTCTGGAGACATTTTGAGTTGTTCACAAATGGGGGTTGGGGGCATCTGGTGGGCTCAAGATCTTATAATACAAAACACAGCCCTATCACAATGACTTGTCTGGCCCAAAACGTCACTAGTACCAAGGTGGGAAGTATTGCTCCAGACCTATTCACTTGGCACCTCTTCTCCTCCCCAGAAGTCCATTAAAGGCATTTTCTTAGCTTTATACATCCTAAAACTCCTGCACATAAGCAGATGACAAAAGAAGGTCCTGTCCTTGGTAAGGATGTCCCTCCCAAGGAGCTTTTATCAACACCTTTACTCCATGACTTTCAAGAGTAGACGCTCAAGAGAGCTCTGTCCGTGTGACCACAACTGATCAGTTCCCTGGGACATTTGCCCTAGTTTAGTTTTGGAGTCATCCTATGAGATCATGTACCAGGCACATCAAACTCAGAAAAACAACTTCCCAAGACATAAACAGCTTTAATTCTGTAATCCAGCCACCAGTGGGGTTACAGCAACACTCCTGGGCAAGGAAAAGGTGAGTGTTTTCCTCTTGGCTTGGCACAGTCCCATGCTTCCATGTTCCTCCCCACACCAGTTTCCCCCAGCGGACCCATCTTCAGGTCAAGGTATATGTACCCTGGGTTCCTGGGACCCTGAAGCATCAGGATCCTGTCTTTCCTCCCTCTCCCTTTCCACTGCCTTCTTCCTCTCTATATTCTGGGTCCCCACAGCACAGTAATACATAGCCTCATCCTCAGGCTGCAGCTGGGAGATGCTCAAATATCCCTGGTTCTTGGCCACATCTTTGGATCCAGAAAAGCGAGGGGGGACCTTAGAGCCCTGGTGCTTGTCTGAGTATGAGAAGTATCTCAGCAGGAACCTCGGAGGCTGCCCTGGCCTCTGCTGGTACCAGAAGATGCTGTAAAAGCCAATATGATGGTCACTGCTCAGGGTGCAGGTTAGGCGGACTGCAGTTCCGAGGGATGAGGAGGCAGACAGGGGCTGATGCAGTACGGGCTGGGTACCATAACCTAGGAACACAGAAGCATATGGGTCCCCAGGGCAGGGCAAGGGAAGGGAAGGGAAGGGCCAGGGGCTGTGGGCTCTGAGGGTTCCCTCACCTGTACAATAGGCCAGTAGCATGAGTAGGACAGGAGTCCAGGACATGGTGCTGATCTGCAGAGCTCTGTGGCCCTCATGGGCTGGGCTAGCATCCTTCTCTGTACTTCAAGAGGAGGGGCCATTGCACCCCTGGTTCCATTCCTGTCACTTGGGTTTGCAGTGTCAGTTAGGGGAACGGTCGGTCTGTTTGGGGAGCCTTTGAGGCTCTGGCTGGCCATAGGGGAAATGGCTGAGAAGGAAACACCTGCTGGCTGCTCATGGACCAGTGCCCATGAGATAGGCTGGTTGATGCAGTGCCCTGAGGGACGATGGCCTTGAATCCCCCTGAGGAAGCTGAGCCCCACAGAAGTAAGTTTCTTGCTCAAATTTAAATTCTTGGTGAACCAGGAAGAAAGGATACATCCTCAGAGTGGTGAAAATGCTTGCTTCATACAGCAGAAAATTTGAGGGTCTTAGAAGAAATGGGATGCTCCAAACTCCACGGGGCCTTCAGCCTGGCTCCTCTCCTTCCTAGAACAAAGTGGATTTACAGGGCCCAGAGATAGACATGCATAGAGAGAAGGTGGTAAGAGAAGTGGAGAGAAGTTGGTCATCTCCATGCCAAGAGAGGACCTTCCTTCAGCACCCTCAGAAGGAATCACACCTGCTGGCAAACTGATCTTGTACTTCTGACCTCCAGAACTGTTAAACAATTAATTTCTGTTATTTAAGCCACTCAGTCTGTTATTTAAGCTACATTACTGTGCCCCTAGGAGGCATATGTAATTGTTGGTTTAGGCCATTGTAAAAAAAAAAAAATACTATAGATTTAGTGGCTCGCAAATAACAGAAATTTATTCCTTACAGATCTCACAGTTGGAAAAAGTCTAAGATCAAGGTATTGGCAGATACGGTGTTTGGTAAGGACCCTGGTTCATAGGTGATTACTTTCTTGCTATAACCTTGCATGGTGGTGGGGTAAAGTGGCCCTTTCTTGGACCTCTCTTACAGGAACACGGATCCCATACATAAAGGCACTGCCCCCATGACCTAATTAATTAGAGGTTCTACCTTCTTATACCATCAACTTGAGGATGAAGATGTCAACAGATGCATTTAGGAGGAACACAAACATTCAAACCACAGCCAGAAGTAATTTCAAGATTTCCCAGAGGTTCTCTTGTCCCACACACTCATTTTCCCTCTGATAGCTGGAGTCCATGTTTCTTCCTCTTGAATTTACACAGGGTTGTGGATATGGGTGAAGTGACCCCATGTGTACCAGATGGCACTGAGCAGCTGCCAATCACCCAGCATCTTTGTCTCATAAGTACATGATGGAGTAAGCACACTTTCGTCTTTGAGCCCTGTGTCTTGAGCTGCCTCATGTCCATTTTCTCCTGACAAAGAGCGTACTTTGTGCATTTCAGCCAGCCAGGCCAACTCCACAAGCTTCATCATTCCTATTGCCTTTCTGGCCAATAGCAAAATTTGACCAGCTGAGGGGTGATTAGGGCCCCTGAAGACAGAAAGCGTCTTGATCACACCTTGTACAGTCACAGCTGAAAATACATCTAGGACCTGCCTTTCCAGCACAGGCTGGTGGGTGATGGGGAGCTGACCTTCATTCTCTCATCCAATAACTCATGCATGTGTTTGTGAAAGAGGAGTGGCACCTCCCAGATAACCCTGCACCTCTTTGGCACAAGAGACCTTCCCACTTGTGGGCATTGGCACAGCTACCAGCCTATGAACTGGCCTCACCATTGATTTTTTCAGAGCTTTTTGATCCAAACTAGTCTCAGAGAGGATAAATGCTACTTCTTGCACTTTGCAAGTCAATTCATGTAGTTAAACAATGAGTAAGATGAGAGCCAACCTTCAACCATAGTGATAAGCTGAGCCCAATTTTGGTTTTGCATGTTTAACCTTGCTGTCCTAGGACCATTGTATCACCCGCCTGGAAAGATTGTCTCCCAGGGCGAACACATGTGTTGGGAATTCCCTGGGCCCTTCCAGACCCTGAAGAAGATGGTCCTGGGCCTTGGAGCAACAAGATTTAGATGGGGGTCACACCCTTTAATCAATGCCTTTTCCTATCCTCGCACAGTTGTTCCCCGTCTCTGTCCCCTCAGCTTTGCCCTCAAACCCCAGCATCTGTCTGTAGGGCACAGCAGTTTCATGGAGTTGGTATCTTACATCCTTTTCCCTGGCTACACCCAGTTCTTTTTAAGGTAGCTTTAGACCAAATCTGTTTTCTGATTACACAGAAATGAGGAAGCATCATAAAACATCTTCCCAAAAGCAAGAGTAAGCTAAAACTGATCCCTGCAAGTTTTGGTGTGGGGGAAGTATGGTAAGAAGGACTAAGTGGAGGGCAGGAAAGGTAAGGGAGAAGTGTTCTCTTAGTATAAAATCATGAGGAAAAAAAAACCATGAGGAAGAGAGCCAAGGCAGGGCCATGATTTAGTTCACACATTTTTGGTAAAAAATGCCAACTGCTATGCATAGATCAGATAGAAGAAACACAAAGGGAAGAATTTCACAATAAATCTGTCAACATTCAGATTAATCCACATGTGTAGACAATACCTTTATACCATGAGGCTAAAATGAGATCTTTCCTCATTTCAAATATAATGAGTAATGAATTATCAACATAGTTAGGTGTTTCCTTTTTAAATATTTTTTTACGTTATCAAAAATCATTATTGAGGACATTTCCATATATCTTATGACTGTGCTATATATATCAAGAAAATAGGCATTATATATTTTCCTGCTGGCAATCATTATCATTTTTACATCAGGCCATATTTATTCATTTATATCTTCCCCACACCTGTGTAGGCATTTGAATGTGTGACTCTTGGCACAAGGTGACTTCATTTGCTTTTTTTTTTTGGTACCGGGGATCGAACTTGGGTCCTTGCACTTGCGCAGCAGGTGGCGAAACCACTGAGCTAAATACCCGGCCCCTTCGTATTGCTTTTTTAAAAAATAATTTTTTTTAACTTTCAGTTTTAATTGCAATTTTGTATTTTAAATTTAAACAGGCGATTAAAAATGAAGCACTCTAAGGGCTGGGGATTTAGCTCAACCTGCCTCGTAAGCGCAAGGTCCTGAGTTCGATCACTGGTACCAAAAAAAAAAAAAAATGAAGCACTCTGTTCAGAATAATTTGATTACAGTGTTGACTAGCTGAACACTAAGATCATCTTCTTTAAAAAAAACAGCTCATGTTATTTCATGGTCTATTTATGAATTTAAAAATAATATAATCCAAAATTGTAAGTTTTCTTTTCATGTCTGCTTTCTGTGGATGTTTTGCTTATCACCAGCTTTTCATACAGAAGCTTTGAATGGGCACACAGCAATGCTCACTATTGGTTTAAAATGAGCTGGCCAATGATATCTATAGCTAGCCAGACTATCATGTTTTAAGTAAGAAATTTGTCATCAAACATTCTCTCAGATATTTTAGAATTTTCTAATGCATCTTGGCATCTTCATGGAACTGTTCCAATATATCACTGAAAGAAAGTGCCATTGTTCTTACTACTAAACAAGGATCAATTCCCAGGTCCCGATGTTAAAAAAAAAAAAAAGCTTTATTTTCTTTTAAATATAGTCATTCTGGTGGGACAATCAAGAACAAGGAAGAAATCAATCTGCCAAAATTTAAACTGTAGCTCCAAATCCAAGTAGGCTTAGCTGTGGACAAATAATGTGAATGTAATTAAATGTTTTCTTCTTTTGGTTAAATCTGGTTGATCTCATGAGGAACCATGTAAGGAGCTCCCTCGAGAGTGATTCCTTCACTCCCTTGAAAAGGTTGGATGTCTAGACTCTCCAGAACTCCAGATAACATCTTCTGCCTAGAGCCAGGCCTACATAATGTCCAATCATCTGAAGATGGCACCCCGCCCCCCAAACCCTGCATTTACTTAACCTTCAGTTCTCTGTAAAAGTTGAGTTGGCCGAGTTCCTTGCTCCCAAGGTATCATTTTTCTGGTATTTAGACCCAGTAGGATTTATGGATATCTCTCCTTCCCTCTCATTTAGCTTAAATCATTACTAAGAGTCAGATCAATCCCCCTCATCTACAGAGAGCTGAGGGAGCAGAAATCCAAGCAGAGGACCAGATTTAGAAATTAGAGAACAGAGACTGTGTCCACCCTGAGGTTCTACCTGAACTGCCCCATCTCATTTATCTTGACATTTACCAACCATCAAGACCTGCAATCTAAGAAAAGAGTGAGGTCAGTTGATGGGGACATTTCTTGAACTACCTTTAGTTTGAGCTTGTCAACCTGAATACAATAAAAGAGTGACAAGATAGAGACAGAGACAGAGACAGAGAGGAAATTCTCTAAAGAATAATGCTATATATTTGGGGATAAAATACCACTGCTATGGGAATATTTGTGCCATTGTAAACTATGAGAGCATTCAAAGAAGTTGAAATGAGAGATATTTTTGTTTAGTTTTTATTTTATTAGTACATATTTGCAGTATATAATGATTACATTCATTGTGGGGAATTGGTACATGTACCTAACACATCTTAATTCTTTTTATGTCCCCATTTCCTCCCAGCGTTCTCCACTCCTCCCCTCTCTTGGTTCTCTTCCTATTTGAAAAAATTCTATCTCCCTTTTTCCTATTTTCTATCTTTCATTTTGCCTCTTTATTTATAATTTCAGTTTCTCATATAAGAGAAATGATATTATATTTAACCTTGTATGTTTGATTTATTTCATTTAACATGGTTTCAAGGTGCATCTATTTTCCTACAAATGACTCAAATTTACATTATTGGAGAGTAGTACTTTATTGTATATAAATATGACATATTCTTTATCCATTCCTCTGGTGATGGACAGGTAGACTGCTTCCAAGATTTAGCTATTATCAGTTGTGCTGCTACAAACATGGGGTTAAGTGTAATATGGTGTCTTTAATTCTTTCAACAAGATACCTATAAGGGGAATAGCTAAATTGAATGGAATTTCTATTTTTAGAGAGTTTTTTTTTTAAAAAAGAATCTCTGTATTTATTTGCATAGTGGTTGTACTAGTTTACATTCCCACCAACAATGTAGAAGGGTTCTTTTTGTCCCACAGCTTTGCCAGCATGCTATTTGATTTTTTTCTGATATACATTCTTTCTGGAGCAATATGGAATCTCATTATTTAAATTTGCATTG